CCCGCGACCCGCAGATTGCGAGTCGAGTGCCTTAACCACCTGGCCATGCCGGGCCATATTATGTAAGGAAGTCAATTTAATTGAATCTGAAATAAAGAACCCTACATCCAGAGGTTTCCAGAAAAATTACAAATGGTACAAAAAATTAAAACATCCTGGTGATATGAATTTAAGCCTTGTAATAACAGTAGATTTGTATATGTGAACAGAACTGTTATCTTGGTGTACAAAACTTGAAGATAGCTTTTATAAGCAAAAACATCTGTTAGCTGAGTTCTTACACATATCTTAAAATATAACGTTGATAAACGGAAACATTGGCACACGTAGATCTTGAAAGTCGAATTGTTCAAAACTTGAAAATAGAGTTGATAACTGGACCAATTGTTGGTTGAGATGTTGCAAAGGAAATATCAGATCATTTTCCAGACGGTTCTGTTATGATTAGTGTCTGGCAAAAAGTTTCAACAGATATTTCCTGTGCAACATCTCAACCAATAATTGGTCCAGTTATCAACGCTATTTTCAAGTTTTGAGCAACTCGACTTTCAAGATCTACATGTGCAGATGTTTCCGTTTATCAACGTTATATTTTAAGATCTGTGCAAGAACTCAGCTAACAGATGTTTCCACACATAAAAGCTATCTTCAAGAACTGTTATCATAAATCTAGCCCTGTATGATCACACTGTTATGCTACACATTACAGGTTAACAGTACGCACTAAGGTTCATTTAGTAAACAAAAGTAGTTCCCTTTATAATATAACTTTTGGTATTTTTAAAATGTTGATTAAATTATATTTGATGTTAATCTATGGGTAGGCTTAATAACTAGACAATAAAACAATCTTGTCAGGCCTAAGCCTTTTACATCAATTTAACATGCCAGTTTTCACGTGCACAACACACTCACCCACCACGATATTTCCTCGATATTTCAATGTAAAGAAAGAGAAAAGCATAAATGCTCTGTTGCTTTGCATCAGTACAACATGGTACCTGTACGTTTAAAACTGTCTGAAGGTGCTTCAGGGCTTCTGAAACCTTTACTGCATCTTCAATTTCTTCTGTAAGTATAAAAAATATCTTCAAATAAAATCTCACATTTGTCTTCGATTGAGAAATTCTTACTCTCTTAAGAAAAAAAAAAAGGTATAGCCACTGAAATTGCCAGATTTTCATTAACTACTAACAGTCTTTCAGTTTATTTTTAGGCCCACAAAAATACCAAATATATCAAAGCACTAATCTTCATACGTTAGGTTGTTTCAATTATTTCCTGCATTTCATTCTTAAACAGAGGACTATTTTAATGCACAAATGAATATTAAAAACTCAACATAAAGAAAGTATAGGTTTAATTAATTATGTGAATGTGTCACCTCAACAACAGTTCTTAAATTAACTCAAACCAATTAATTGATTATGAATTGGTTCAAACATGAGCAACAAGTTAAAAATATTTAAAACTGCGGCTTATTTTAAACTAAATAATTTTAGAACTGATGTTCATATTGTTTCTCTGCCATTATTCAGTTCTGGTATAAATTCACTTCCATTTATATCTTGTTTCATACAGTTACAAATCTAAAGTTAAATTTGATGATATTTGGTTGCCATAGCTACAACATCAGAGCAATGATAAAAAAACTAGCTTTGAAGTTTCTGAAAATTCATCATTAGACCTACCCCAATGGGTGAATACTTCATAATATATTCACCACTAACGAATCAAAAGCTTTACATTAGCTATGTGATTATGAACCCAATGTAACCATCTTAAAGATGAGCTAACACAATCAAGATATCTAAAATAACAGCAATTTGTAAATAACAAGACAAAAAAATTGATATTTAATTCAGGAGGTTTTACAAGTTATGCAGATGAAATATGAAAACTGTAAAGTGAAAACAAGTATTCTTAGGATGAAAATCATCGACTGACTCCATGAAGGCTTCATAAATTCAGAGACAAATCTTTAGCAAAAAATACCTTTTTAAAAAATCTAAAACTTGTAATGTTTACTAAAATCTTGCCAAATTATCTACAAGTACACTTAGAAAATTCAGTCATAGTATGTATAGTTTCATAATTACATGTTGATCAAAATGACCAAGTCTGTATGCAGAGTTAAATAACTTATTATGCAAAATATCAGGAGAAAATGAATACAAGGAAATTTTCTATTTAATCAGCAAGCAATTCACCCACATAGAAAGTGGATGAGGGTCAACAAATACTATCAGAAGCACATAAGAAGAGAGATATGAATGACAAGATAGCTGTGAATATACTACTACAGAATTGGAGAGTCAATAGTAGTTGACAGTCAGCTGTATGCGATGGTATTAAGTTTGAAGCAGTTTTGAAAGCATTGTAGGCCACAGTATAACATGCTAGTTAGAAAGCACTTTTCTGTTGTTATTATTTCAGACATAACTCATTCAAAAATTGTTATTCAATCCCTTTTAACCGGTGTCAATGTAATTTCTCTCATGTCAGATATTTGGACGAGGAGTTGAGTTGCTACCAAGTTTAAGTGGGCATGGCCTACATGTGATTTGATTCATAAACCTGTGGCATTGAATTGAATCAATCAGTAATGCTCCTCAAGAGCTGTTTCATGCAGGGTTTGCAGTCGATACCAGTACTGGTACTAGTGGTATTCGGCGTCCAGTGCTGGTACCGGTACCGGGCCATCAGTACCAGTACTGGTTTATAGTATATCATGTGTTAAGAATAATATCTGTTACCACATGTCCCATCTTCAGAGTTTTGACTGAGTGCCTCCTCTGGTATTTCAGCTTCGCTTTTCATAGAATTATAAATGTTTGATGTGGTAGTTTTGAGTTCATACTTCAATTGATAAGCAAATCTCACCACGAAAATCAGTAACCATATGAAATATTGGAAACTGGTGACTCCCATGCTCTGGAAGAGAATGTGAATGTGCCTATGTGGCTGGTTGCACGTTAGGTAGGTGCATGCATGATTAACCCTTAGCATGCAGGCAGGTCTAACTGTGCATGTCACAACATTTTAGTGAGTTACATTCAAAATTTAATTAAACTACTTAATTATTATGGTATACGAACAAACTTGACATCAAACCATATTGTTACGACAGCGGTAGTCACGTGACTCTGGTAACACGTCATGATATTCTCGAATGATCGGGGAATATCACGAATAATTCAGTATGTGCTAGGCGCCCTCTATTCCTGTATATAAGTGCGCCTGATAATGTGAGACAAATTAATTGGAATTGAATTGCAGACAGGCAGAGATAGAGACAGACAACTGAGTCAAGCGCGGTAGTGACCATAAGTAAGTGCGTGAATCATTGTGAATTATAGTGTGTGTTTAAAGTGACTGTGGAAATTAAGTGTATTGCAAAGTTGTATCCCAAGGAAACACTTTGCTCCATCCAGCTGATCTAAACCACTGGGAAATTGGCATACAATATAATAGGGATGACCTGCACTTCACTGACATGGACACCCCTGCCCTACTTCCCACTGCACTGTGCTGCCCAATAAAAGTCTCTTCAGATGGACTGCACAACTGATGAAGAACTATGAATCTACCACCCCAGTGACTAGGAACTGGGAAAAGCAAGAGTCTCCCATGCTTCACTTGAAGACTAGTGGTGGTGGGGATTAACATTGTAGAGATTCCAGAGATGTTCCAGAGACTTGATCAAAACTACCCATTACAAAGGTCTTTCACTGGAAACAATGCAATGAATTATCATGAAACCTATTTTGAAAAGCTGCCATGAGTAAGCCAGGAAAGTGGGCAGGTACTGCCATGAGTAAGCCAGAAAAGTGGGCAGGTACTGCCATGAGTAAGCCAGGAAAGTGGGCAGGTACTGCCCTGATGCTAGGTTTTTCCATGATAATCCATGGATGGTATACTGTGTGAAATGGACATAAAAATATATGTACCACCTCAGTGGTCTTGCTGAAAAACCCCATCTCAACAGTGGGCACATGGGAACCAGGGCAGATGGACTTAACACTTTCTGTTACCCCTGAATCAATGTGGATACAGGGAAGTAAGTATACCATGCAAGGCAACACTGGCTACTAGGTGAGTTGTCAGGTGAAGATGATACTATTATTAAAAGTGGATAAAGAAATGAATGAGTTACTTAATCCATTAAAATTGGTGAGTAGATTGAAGAATGGAGACTGGAGGGAGAAGTCTAGATGGAGATGAATCCATCATATGATGAAGTGTGTGTGTGTTGGGCATTGTCTACATCCCTGTGTATTAGATCTCATCCAGTGGTTAGTGAAAGAGAGAGACCAGAGAGTGAGTGAAGGGACAAATCTGATGATGAATGATGTGATGAGTCTGCAAGTGTCATTCTTTAGAGAAAAACAAATGATTTGGATGAAGTACTGAACTCAACTGGTAACTGCAGTGGACAAAAAATGGATGAGGAGGGATAACACAGCAAGAATAGGCAATTACAGGCATCCTGAAAGAAATCCATGCATGTTACGCAACACCAGATCACATAAATATGGCAAAAAAGATAACCAGTGTCAAAATGGTCACTGTGGGCAGAAAATGATGGAAGATAAATGGGAGGAAAGGACCCCTCTCCTTCCTAAACCACTTATGTGTAGGGAAGGAAAGAGCTGTCAGATAACAAAATGGAGTAAGATTTAAGGAAAAGAGTAGAAGAAGCACATAAGGCATAAATGTTGGAATAGAATAACCTAAAGGCCTTCAAGGAAAGGTGAGAGAAAGAACAAGTGGCCAAGGGTTCATATTGGGACTGGGTGAGAATGTAAGGAACCACGAGAAGGTCCCAATCAGGCAAAATGATGAGGAAAAAAAAGAAAGGAAGGGGTGGAATATAGGTAGAAGAACAGGGGAAGAAAAATGGGACCACAGTAAAAAAGCAAAAGGTTGTTGATAAAACCACACAATAATCCACGAAAGTGTAGAATAACAATCTCTGGTCAAACAGCCTAGTAAAGAAGTCCAAATGATGGGCAACAGAAGGACAGCTCAGAGACAGAAAGTGACGGAAGGACCAGTAGTGATGAAAATGTCACCTGCGTCAAGGAACAGACAGAGTTAAAAGAAGAAGAATCAAACGGTAAAAAAGAAGGGCAATGTAATATAAGAAACTGCCCAACAAGCAAGGAATGGACAATCTCATGTGCAAAGATAAAGGTATGACACTTCCAGATGAAAGAGTAATGTAAAAGGTTAGAGCAAGAGGAACCTCAATAATGGAAGAAGATGAGGTGCTTAAGATGCCAGTTGGAGGAGAAGAGGAAATTAAGATAGAGCTGGCCAATGGGATGCAACCAACAGAAAATAACACAGAGTGTTGTGGAACATCACCAAGACACATAGGGGAAGGTGGATGGCAAGAAACATATACAAAAAAGAACAGACTAATAAAAGCTGAGAGTATTCACAACCCAGGCATTTGGGTTTGGGATCAGGGACTAAAAGAGCTGAGGTGACCAGACTTCCTGACTCACAGAGATATGAAAAAGGATAAGCCCAAATGAGGTGCGAAGAGAAAAGAACCCTGAAGTAGATCAAATAAAGAGTCAAGAACAACCAAGAAAATAAAACCAGCCGTCCTTGTTGAACAGCTCTTGAAGGAGAAGAGTTGAGACTGTAGAAGGGGTCTACCAGGTTGGAAGAAAAATCATCCAGTAAGGAATAGAAACAAAGACCAAGATTGTGGATGTGGCAAGTGAAAGCCTTCACAACCTGAAGACATAAAGAGCAAAAGCAATGCCAAAGGGTAGAGCCCGAAACCACTAAACTGTATCTTGTTGGACAAACCAATGAAAACATTGTGATGACAGGGCTATTTGAAAGTAATGAAAAGCATCTGAGACATAGACTGTCTATATTGAAAAGCTGGGAGAAACAACCTGTTAAGAGAAAGAAACTCCTTCACCAGACTTTGTGAATCATCAAAAGTGGTTCAGAGAAGAAGAACAATGAAAAAATTTCAATCTCAAATAACAGGGACAATGAAGAGATAGAAACAGTTATCTGGAAAGGGACAATGACTCTCTCTATGGAATTCAAAACCAGGAGCTCTGACATTGTATCCTCGAGATGGTGGAGGTGTTGAGGAGCAGAAGGTGGAGAAAAAACAATGGAAGAAGAGATGTGAAAAGAGAAAGACAATGGGTAAGTACTTGTGTGACCCAATGGTCAGCCATGAAGGGAGTTCACAGATTAACAAAGAAAAAAAATGAGATGTCCCCACAGAACTAGAGCAGACCAGGTACAGAGACAGGTAGTCACTGACAGGATGGACAAAGACTAACCCTCTTGGAGGGGGTGTGATGGTGAGAGAAGTTACAAAGACAGGAAGAGGAAATTTGAGAGTATGAGGGTAGATGAGCCAAGGAACATGAGAGGCTACACAGGAATGTAAAAGATGAGAGACTAAAGAATTGAGAGGAAACTGATAGCAAGTAGCTTCTGCTCAAGAGTCCAAAGTGTGAAGAACACCACATAGACCTCATAACCAATGAGTGGAGCGAGATGCAATACAGGGAGGAATGTGAATGGAAGAGAAAAAGGGTGTTATGTCTAAAGAGAAACAATATGAGGAGAGAGGGCCAAAGATGAATCCATGGTCTAAGTAGGAAAAAGGACCAACCAGAGATACCTCCCCCCCTAAAAATGCTCTGGATCCCAATGGAGGGTATTATATTAGGTAAAATAAAGAAAAAATACAGGAATTTTTTTAAGAGGTATGTTCACAAATAGCTTGTGCATTACCTAATTTGCTAGGATAATGTGAGCTACATGTTCACCAAGTGATTCACATCTTGTGTGGCAGGATTATTAGTTAGACACAGTTCAAAGGGTAATAAAATAACATTTAAGTATAAACAGATGTATAGTGTTACAAGCTTTAAGCTATTTAGAACAAGCAATTGTAGTTTCCTGTTACAACTTCAAGTAATTCTAGAAAGAAAAAAGGATTTATATTTCTAATTATTTTATTGTGGTTACAAAGACAGTCAAATTTTCCAAATGGATATAGTTAGGATAAAGAAAATAACAGATAAAATAAAGTTTTACTGAGAGAGAGAAACATTTGAACTTTATTTAGAAGATTTCAAAATATGCAAATGAAATTTGTCAATTTTCAGATGAAAAAAGGCATTTCTAATCTTAACATGAAAATCACTTTGCATTTGAAGCAGTCAAAATGTTGACTCCATATACTCAAAGAAATGTTTAATACAAATACTTCATTAAAGTTTCAGATTTTTTTGTCTACAAAAGACTTATAATGTTTACAGAAAGCTTGAAAAAGTTTTGTGAAGATATACAAAACATACCCGAAGTTATAGTATGGGGGTCACAAAATAACAAAATAACCAAGCCCATAGCAAGAAATTCAAGTAGTCTCATTCCAGATGGAATTTCGACTTTGTGAACAGAGGTACAAGGTCAGGAGAATAAAGCTGCAAAAATGCAAGAACTTATAGTGTAGAATTGTTCAGAATTGTCCTCTGATTTTATTTTCTTACACATGCAACAATTATTACATACAAGTACATCAATTTAGGAGAATAATAATAGAAAGACTCGTGACATGGCAAAGTAAAGGAATAAGCATGCACTAAAAGAAATAATGATCAGAAAGAGTAACTAGGATATTAAAGATTACTAGATCAAATCAATCACAAAAGTAGCAACAAAATCTTTTAAAATTGAAGATCAAAGTTACCCATGTCTGTCAATGGGAGAATGATGTTAATTTCGAGTGCAAGTTCTTATGGGGATCTAATACACATGAAGGATGTATCATCCTTTTATTGGTGAAGTGATGCTTATGCATGATGATTACATCATGTACTAGCACAATAAAAATCCCCGATTTAGGTGGGAGATAGTTCAAAGCTACAAAGTTTGTGCAAAATCTCGATGGCAAGCGCACCGTGAAGAGGTGTGTGAATCATTTCGATAACAAACATTTACAAATTTTGTTTCCATATTTTCATCTTTACTAACATCTCTTATCCTGTTTAAATTAGATACTGTGCATTACTTGATATATTTTCTCAGGCTAGTTCTGAAAACTTATAAGTGCAAGTAACAAAGAACGTATAACAATGTGTGAATCACGCTATCTGCTCTCTCCAGTGAGAGTGAGACCTTTTACCCAATACTAGGGTTCATCAGGTTAACTAGGATATGAGAGACTCAGTAGTCATTGAAATGTTATATTATAAATTGCATAAAGAACAACTGTTAAGGTGTGAACTAGAGTTAACAGTTTCATACGAGCCATTTAGAAATCAGAATTAGTGTAATATGCAAGCATATGTTTTCTTCATGCTTTAGTTATACACGGTTTCTCTTTTAAACTTCTTGGTTATTTCGTTTCCCAACTGTAACGGCAGCATAATGCAGTCCAGAAAGTCATTAAGATTACCTTGTTATAGATGCTTTATTTCTCAATACTATAGAGATGTCTCTAATACCCAAGTAAATAGTGCACTCGTATCTTTTGCTGGCTGATTACGACGCTGACTAAACAGAACAGTCAACCAATGCTGTGAGGTGATGCTGTTGACTGGATGAAGAAAGCAAGTTTACCGGCATATGTTCTTTAACCAGTTAGTACTAGGAGATTGTCAAGTGAAGATTTCTTTCAAGACCAATTTTTTTTAGTTTTACAGAGATTAATCCTGAGGGATAGAAAGGAGTCATTTCATCCGTATAGCTAAGCACACCGTGTTTTCCATTTATTTCTTATAAAAGATTCTGTTCATTTATTCGCTTTCATCGAAACTCATTATTTTACACTTAAAGGAACTGTCATCTATTATAAAACGTTCCCATTATTTCTTGACCAAATCTGCTGTTATTTGTGGGTTTGCCTATCTGATACTTGTCTGGAAAATACCACATTAGGATAAGCATTAATAACGCATATTATTTATTAACGGAAGAAGACTACATTAATCATTCTACGAACTTATAAAAGTACCAAAGAATGCATAACAATATGTAAACCATACTATACCTGCTATATCCAATGCTGACAAGAACCTTTCACCCAATACCAGGACTCAAAAGGCTGATTGGGATACGATAGACACAATAATGGTTGAAACACTAGTTGTATTATCAAACTACATGAACAATAATTGTTAGTGTTTACTATATTATGTTGGTGCTTCGGAATAAAATTATTATTACCTGCATGTGTTTATTTGTCTGGATGACTGCAGTCCAGTATGCTTATACTATATTTGCCTGTACAAAAAGCAAAATACAGGACAATTCGGTAACTAAACGAGGCCTTTACTCCAATCGAGCAAGTGTACATCTACACTAGCATTCACAGATAAAAGTATAAATATTCCCAAATACAGAGAGCCTTATGACAATCATTTTTAATACCAATATAATCCCATAAAATATTCATGAAAAAATTCTGACCATGCTTTAAAGTTCAAAATGATAATCAGAAATTTACAGTTAATTATAATAAAAAAAATCACATAAAGAACACTGTTTTTATTTAAAATTAAAATAAGTTTAGTCTTAGTTTCTATATTTTCACTTGCTTTATTACAATTCTTCCTAAGCTAAAAATAAAAGTTGTCATCTTTGTGTTTTCAGTCATGGATAAGAAGGTGCGGAAAGCTTTAATAATGAATGAACCACAAACTAAGTCTACTCATAAATAACAAGGAAACTCGTGAAAAGTTCAGTTCAAAGCTAACCTGTTGCTTTTATTTGGCACCTATAATTCCCAAATTATAAATAACATACATAAAACTAGATTGTAAGCCAAGTTTCTGACTAGTTGATCGACAACTATGAAGTTGCACAGGTTAATTTGGGGTCAGCCGATTCGACAGAGCCCATAGCGAAAATTAATTAATAACGGCTGTTGATTTCTTAGTCTCCTCTGTAACGGCCAGGTTCCCCATAGTTATAACAGTTTTTCTCTTTCTAGTAGTTTCTGTTTAGTAGTCTTATTCCATACTGGATTTAAGCCAAGGCGATAGAGCCCAGCCAGAACAATGCTACAACAATATTACTATAATTATCATACTATTCAAACAAACAGATCATTGAGAAAAATTCTAGATCATAAATACTAATTAAAACAAATGGTAAAGAAAATTTCCCTTTGAACTAAGAGATGACTACATGGATCTAATTGAACTGCACTTTAGTACACACAAGTACAGTAAAGTCAAGTCGCATGTGAATTTACATATTGCCTCCACACCTGACAATAAAGTAGAAAAGACATGGAGACTAACCATTTGAAGTGACTGGTATCCTCATAATATCTTCAATGAACCATTCACTGGAAGTTTGTAAGTCGGGTAGATGGAGCTCTACAACATTTTTGTTAATAGGTTCAACTGTGGTTCTTGTTCGTAAGTCCACACTCATGGCGACAGCCGACTAGATAGTGAAACACAGAATAAATTTATGAAGTGTGTTATTAAATTCTGCTCAAAGGTATGTTTGTAAAAAATGTGTAAACAGCAATTCATGTAGTATTGAATTGGTTCTTTGAAATGTACTTGTAAACAGTTATTTGTGTAATACTGAATTGGTTGTTTGAAATGTACTTGTAAACAGTTATTTGTGTAATACTGAATTGGTTGTTTGAAATGTACTTGTAAACAGTTATTTGTGTAATACTGAATTGGTTGTTTGAAATGTACTTGTAAACAGTTATTTGTGTAATACTGAATTGGTTGTTTGAAATGTACTGGTAAACAGCTATTCCTGTAATACTGAACTGGTTGTTTGAAATGTACTGGTAGACAGCTATTTGTGTAATACTGAATTGGTTGTTTGAAATGTACTTGTAAACAGTTATTTGTGTAATACTGAACTGGTTGTTTGAAATGTACTGGTAGACAGATATTCATGCAATACTGTTTGAAATGTACTGGTAAACAGCTATTCGTGTAACACTGAACTGGTTGTTGGAAATGTACTTGTAAACAGTTATTCCTGTAATACTGAACTGGTTGTTGGAAATGTACTTGTAAACAGTTATTCCTGTAATACTGAACTGGTTGTTTGAAATGTACTTGTAAACAGTTATTCGTGTAATACTGAACTGGTTGTTGGAAATGTACTGGTAAACAGCTATTCGTGTAATACTGAATTGGTTGTTTGAAATGTACTGGTAGACAGCTATTCATGTAATACTGTTTGAAATGTACTTGTAAACAGCTATTCGTGTAATACTGAACTGGTTGTTGGAAATGTACTTGTAAACAGCTATTCGTGTAATACTGAACTGGTTGTTGGAAATGTACTTGTAAACAGCTATTCGTGTAATACTGAACTGGTTGTTGGAAATGTACTGGTAGACAGCTATTCATGCAATACTGTTTGAAATGTACTGGTACACAGCTATTCATTTAATACTGTTTGAAATGTACTGGTACACAGCTATTCATGTAATACTGTTTGAAATATACAGATTTAGTGGTTAAATATTTATTTTTGTGCCATATTTGTGATTTTGAATAAAGTTATTGAAATTAAAAAAAATCTACATATACAGAACAAAATCTAGAAGTTTATTAGTGTCATTTTTTGAAATATACTCTGGACTCTGGTGATGATTCGTTTGAAGTTGTATACAAGTAGTTTTGGTCCTTTTACTACAAGACTGACATAAACATGTTTAAAAGACTGATCTAAGCCACTTAAACTATGAGATACATAGCTGAGACTGAATTCAAGTCATCAACATTGTTGGGTGTTTTGACAGCCTTTCTATTAGTGATTTGTATGAGTAAATGAATAAAAGAATTGGACAAACATATTTTATTATTTTGGATAACTGGTTTAATTTCTGGAAGCCATTATCCATAATTGTTCTTTAACAATTTTTTTGTTTGTTATAAACTCCTGCAATACAGTCCATCTGGTCATCAAATTTACACTTAATTATGCCATACCAAGTACAAATTTACCATTTTTAAATATCATCATCCATGTTAACTTTTTCAGCACAGGCTCGGTCCCTGGGACCGAGTTCGTAACCATTTTGTGCTTCTTATAGTTTTTATGCTATAACATTCGTAAGCGAATGTTAACGAAATTTGGCAGATTATCAGTAAACATTACAATGCTTTCACGCGCAAAATATTAATTTTTTTATTTATTAGGTCTTAAGGTTTGTAAAGCAATGTTTTTCTCATGTCTTTTTTTCTTTTCGCATGTTGCCTATCTATTGTTACGCCTCCGTTCGTTAGTTAATTTTCCGTAAATTTGTTCCGACGAAACTTTAGCGACACAAGTCCTTTCTTAAATAAAACTGGTTTATTCTTTCCGAATACAACTTTACAATACACTTAATTTCAACAGTCGCTCTATAACAAACGCTATAAATATCAATGAACGTCTCACATGCCCAACAATATTCTCTCTGTCAGCATACATTCAATTACTCATTCACTGTCCCGTCACGTTGTGACCATCTTATATATACCAGACTATCCCCAATCTAGTAGTCTCCCAACAATTCCCGAAGAAATCGAGAACGACGTGGCGTGATACTAGTCACGTAACCTCCCTGATGCAACACTATCATGCAAAGTAATATTCATTTTAAGGTTAAAAATACTTATATGCATCAGAAAATTTTGAAATTTCACATGCAAAATCTTTATAATGGCCAGATAGTTATCAAACGTTTCTTAAGAAAAACTTTATAATTTATCTGTTATTTTCAGCACTTAATCTCTGTATGGATTTGATACATTTGACGAATCTCACAACCACCATAAAAAATTAGGAAATAAATATAAATTATGCCTCTTTCATTCTAGAATGAACACAAATTTTAATTATTACATGAGCAATATTTTAGCAAATTGAAAAGATAAGACTCTAGTTTGTTAACATTGGTAATTTGAGTTTCTAATTCGTATGAAATTACAGACTTAGTATTTTGACTTCACAAACATCAAATTTGAATCAGTGCTGCATTCAACATACCATGCGACACACACAAAAAAATCGATGTTTATCTGTGTTTTTTAATATTTGCTTTTAAATTAAGAAATTGAGTAATATATA